CTTTCCTAGCAGTACGCTGAGGACCAAAGTGACCACCACATGCAAGAGTATGACAAAAATGCAAGACAGATGCAAATTCATGATTAGGTACACATCTCCTAATTACTTGGTCACTACACATACGCCATAGATACGGGTCATCCCAAACATAATGTCTGGCCTCACTTTTAAGCTTATTCAATTGATGCTTCTTCATATGTGCAGGCAACTCACAAGCAACTAAGAAATTTACCAAATCTGCATACCAAGGCTCACAACCATGAATAGAGTAAAGCACTTCATCAGGAAAGTTATCTTTAATAGGAAGTGGATCCACAACAGAAGAGTCAGCAAACTGTGGAATTCTACTCAAGTGATCTGCCACTAAATTTTCAGCTCCACTTTTATCCCTTATTTCAATGTCAAATTCTTGCAGTAAGAGCATCCACCTTATCAATCTAGGTTTTGCATCAGGCTTCTTAAGAAGATATTTCAATGCAGCATGATCAGAATAAACAACCACCTTAGAGCCCAACAAGTAAGAGCGAAACTTATCTAGAGCAAACACAATAGACAGAAGCTCCTTTTTAGTGGTGGTGTAATTGGCTTGAGCTGCATCCAAAGTCCTAGAAGCATAGGCAATGACATGAGATTTCTTATCCACCCTTTAAGATAGAATAGCTCCTAAGGCAAAGTTGGAAGCATCACACATCAACTCAAAGGGCAAATCCCAGTTTGGAGCTTGAATGATTGGTGGAGTTGTGAGTCTTTTCTTTAGTTCATCAAAAGCTAGTTTACATTTGTCATCAAAGTTGAACTCCACATCTTTTTGAAGAAGACTGGAAAGAGGAAGGGCAACCTTGCTAAAGTCTTTGATGAATCTCCTGTAAAAACCTGCATGCCCAAGAAAAGAACGCACTTCCCTAACAGAAGTGGGGTAAGGTAAAGAAACAATAACATCCACTTTAGCTCTATCTACCTCAATGCCATGCTTAGATACTACATGCCCTAACACAATGCCACTTTCTACCATGAAATGACATTTCTCATAATTCAACACAAGATTGTTGTCAATGCATCTTTGCAAAACTCTGTCTAAACTATCCAAACAATCATCAAAAGAACACCCATAAATAGTAAAGTCATCCATAAACACCTCCATGCAATGTTCTAAAAGATCAGCAAAGATACTTACCATACAACGCTGAAAGGTGCCAGGAGCATTACAAAGACCAAAAGGCATTCTTCGATAGGCAAAAGTACCAAAGGGGCATGTAAAGGTAGTCTTCTCTTGATCTTCAGGAGCTATATGAATCTGAAAGTAGCCTGAAAACCCATCCAGAAAGCAATAATATGACTTTCCAGCTAGTCTCTCCAATGTTTGATCTAAGAAGGGCAGAGGAAAATGGTCCTTTCTAGTGACTTGATTCAGCTTCCTGTAATCAATACAGACTCTCCAAGAATTTTGCACTCTAACAGGAACCAACTCGTTCTTTTCATTGGCTACCACTGTGATACCAGTCTTTTTAGGAACCACTTGCACTAGACTCACCCATTTGCTATCAGAAATTGGATAAATGATTCCAGCAGCAAGTAATTTAGACACCTCCTTTTTAACCACATCAAGAATGGTAGGGTTGAGTCGCCTCTGGTATTGTCTCACTGGTTTGGCATCATTCTCAAGCAATATTCGATGCATGCAAACTGAAAGACTTATACCAGGTATGTCTGCAAGTGACCACCCCAGGGCCTTTTTGTTCTTTCTCAGCACATTTAGTAATTCTTCCTCTTGCTTAGGTGTGAAGTTCCTGCCTATGATCACTGGTAGATGCATACATAAGATTGTCAGGAAGTGGCTTGAGCTCAAGTTCTGGTGGCTTTTGAATGGAAGGAATCAACATCTTTGGATTCAAATCTATGACTGAATTGACCTGCATGTTGACCTCTTCACAAGAAATATGATCTAAAGAGGGCATGTTAGAAGTAGAAGTATGTGCAGAAATAGGCTCAGTTGCATAATCAAGCTCATAATCATCCCCAGAGTCAGAAAAAGAGAAAACAGATATGGGAGCATGTATAAATTCATCCACTTCATCACATACAACACACATGTTAACAGGAGTACAATCATCAGAACAGCAAGTCAATGAATCTTTGTAGGCATGAATATCAGGAAAGTCATCAATCATCTCAGAATAGATATCATCAGATGCATCACTAATCAATGTATCTATCCTACCAATAAGAAATGCAGAATGATCTTCACTGGGATGTTTCATGGAATCATATATACTAAAAATGACTTTAGTTCCAGCAAATTCCATAGAAAGTGTACCCGCATACACATCAATGATAGTTCTAGCAGTTTTAAGAAATGGTCTACCCAGGATCAGGGGTGTATGTCCATGTGTGTGATTATCCTCCATATCTAAAATATAAAAATCGGCAGGAAAGATTAAATCTTTTACTTTTACCAGCACATCTTCTAGAACTCCTGCAGGGTAAACTAAGCTCCTGTTTGCCAGTTGGACAATCACTCCAGTAGGTTTGAGCTCACCAAATTGCAAAGAAGAATACACAAATTTTGGCATGACATTTATGCCAGCACCCAAGTCACACATGGCATCAGTAAACTGCATCTTCCCTATTGTGCATGGTATGGAGAATGTTCCAGGATCTTTACATTTGACAGGTATGGCTGGCTGAATTAAAGCAGATACATTCTTGTTCAAGTACACTCTTTCATTGCCTTTCAACCTTTTTCTGTTTGTGCACAAGTCTTTGAGGAACTTTGCATATTTAGGAACTTGCTTGACTAGTTCCAAAAGAGGTATGTTCACTTCAACCTTCTGAAAGAGCTCTAAGATCTCCCTTTCTACTTCAGATTCATAAATTCTCCTAGATTGAGTCACCCTACTAGGAAAAGGCAAAGCATTGCTACATTTAGGGACTTCATCTTTTTCATCATTACATGCCTGTGGAGACTCTTGAGTAGAGGAAGAAGAAGGATCATGAGTAGTGACAGTAGCTTCTTTAAACACTGCTTTTCTTTTAGAAGCTTCTGTATGCCCTTGCACTTCTTTTCCACTTCTCAATGTCATAGCACTCACATTACCCTTGGGATTCACTACTGGTTGTGATGGTAATTTTCCTGACCCTTGATTTTTCAAGTCATTGAGCTCTGCAGCTAGTTGACCAACTTGACTACTCAAACTTTGAATGGTGGAATCAGTTCTAGAAACAAACTGTTTCATCATTTCTTCAAGACTATTATCTTGCTTTTGAGGCTCTTGAATGGGAATAGTCTGTCTCACAGAATATTGCATATGATTGTCAGGTCCTCTATGTGGTATTTGTTCACTAGCTACTCATGCAACTGATCAATGTCCACAGTTACAAGAGAGTTATGAGATGTGTGCTGGAGTATTTCCCGAGAGACCTTCACAACCACAACAGCCTAAATATGACCCTTATGCCAATACATATAATCCAGGTTGGAGGGATCATCCTAATTTCAGATAAACTTTTTCCATTAATTCTAACCGCCTCCTCCACTTTTTAATTCCTTTTTTTTTCTTTTTTAAAACTTCCGCCACTCCTCCTCTTTCAAACTAAAGTAATATGAAATAAAATAAAATAAAATAATTAAACTACCCTAAAACTATTTACACAATTTCACCCAAGAGAAAAATTAAAATTAAGATAGTAATTTTAATCAACTTCAGCCCAAATAATCTCCATCATCAATCTTCAATTTATCTCCCAAAATCTGCACAAGATAAGATAATAATGAATAGCCATATATGCAAAAATATTAAATGAAGATTTAACCATAAATTTCTAAGATTTAATGAATTAATTTCCATTAAGTGTAAAATGTCCATAAAATAAAATATGATCTAATTAAACTCAATTAGGCACAATTTCTCACTAAAAAGACCAAATGGAGAGGATAAAAAGTATGTAAAAATGTGATTTATCACTAGGACTAAAACCAACTCGAGAATTGGGTCCTATACTAAGGACTGAAGGAGTATATATATATGTACATGCTGCTGACATGTACAGCTTTTGCCTACAACCAAAGTTTGCTAGAGAGAGAAATATATATATATATTTCTAGGAGGAGTAGGCTGAAAATAAGAGCCCCTGCTTTTACAGGTAATGTGGCATGGGGACTTCTAGTTAGTGAAAACCATGAGTGTGCACTAAAAAAAAAAAAAAACTTTTCCCGATCACCATGTGGATGTTTACAACACGAGGGTGTTATATATGCGTGGACCTAAGTCTTAGCATGTGTGCTGGACAACTATAGTATTGGTTTATGCTTACAGCATATGTAGCAACCTTTACTAAATGATATTACACTTTACATATTTTGAACATGTGAATATAAATTTTTCTTGTGGAACTCCAACTCCAAATCATGTGACTTGGCTCGTAATTCTCTTAGAAAATATTTATCTTATATTTTTTGAAGTGTCTGGTGAAGTTCTTCATTAAAGAAGGGAAAAACCAAACTCTTTGTGAATGCCTGTCAAAACTCAAAACTGATCCTCTATAATGTGGGAAGGAAGCAGAACATTATAACTTTCTTTTCCGAGCAGAAATACATGCGGTCTTTATTGTACTTTTGTGAGATCTCCAATCATTTAAACCAATAATTCAGAGGGGAAAAATCATTTTTAAACATGACCTTTGTGCGCACTAAATGGGAAAATGCAGCAGAAGGTGATGGGTAATTTCCTTCGAAGAAAAAACCAGCTCCCCAATAACTCTTAACGTGCTTCTCAGGATGGGTGTTGACTATCATTGTCAGCTATGGACCATGGCTACATAGTTTGATTTCATACGATACTGTTTTTTCTCATCCCAATAATGTTGAGTTGGCGACCGTTTAACACGGAACAAGAAGGAATTTTATCTATTTTCCACGTAAACAAAGGCTGTGCTATATATATGCTACTGAGATGTGTAACTTTGGCCTACAACCATAGCTTGCTAGAGATAAAAATACTTCAATGGGAAAACTACCAGTAATTGAGTTGTTCTTTCTCTCACTTTGCCTCCTAATAATCCCATTTTCTGTTGGGAGCAGTGATGGCCACTTGGTTGCTTGCTTGGCCTCTGATCGTAAAGCTCTCATGGACTTCAAAACAGGGCTTCATGATCCGAATAATGTGCTATCTTCATGGAGGGGTAGTAAATGTTGTGAATGGCATGGAATAGAGTGCGACAACAGTACAAAAGCAGTTGTTGCAGTTGATCTCCACAATCCGTATGGGTTTGAATATTCATCTTATGACAGGTATGCGTTCTGGAACTTGAGTGGTGAGATAAGACCGTCTTTGATGAAGCTCAAGTCATTAAGGCATTTAGACTTGAGTTTTAACAACTTTGATGGCATAACAATACCTGAATTCTTTGGTTCATTGGAGAATTTGCAATATCTGAACTTGTCAAATGCTGGTTTTAGTGGCCTCATTCCTGCACATTTGGGAAACTTATCTCACTTGAAAGTTCTTGATCTTCATAATAGTGCCAACTTATGGAATATTTTGTGTGCTGATAATTTCCAATGGATAACTGTCCTTGTCTCTTTAGAACACCTTGTTATGAATGGGGTCAACCTTTCATTGGTGAAAGACTGGGCTGGTGCATTAAATCAACTGCCTTCTATTGTTGAATTGCATCTATCTGGTTGTTACTTGTCTGGTTATATTCCATCTGTGCCTTATTTGAATTTTTCTTCACTTGCTGTCATGGATCTTAGCTCTAATAGCTTCTATTCAAAGATACCCGATTGGCTTGTGAATATAAGTAGCTTGCAACATATTGATATGACGGACAGTAACCTACATGGAAGAATACCGCTTGGTCTAGGAGAAATGCCAAATTTATTGTCGTTGGATTTAAGTCTGAATAATGTTACGGCGAACTGTTCCCAACTGTTTCGAAAAAGATGGGAAAAGATACAAGTCCTTGATTTGTCATTCAATAATTTGTATGGAAAACTTCCCTTGCCTTTGGGAAACATGACTTCTCTCACCTTATTTTATCTTGATTATAATGCTATTGAGGGTGGTATTCCCAGCTCTATTGGAAAACTTTGCAACTTGAATAGCTTTTCTTTATCTACAAATGAGATGACAGGAAATCTACCTGAAATTCTTGAAGGAACACAAACTTGCCCTTTTAAGAAACCTCTACATAATTTGCAATATTTTGATTTGGGCTATAATAAATTGGGTGGTAAAATCCCATATTGGATAGGTCAACTAGAAAATATGGTTAATCTTGACCTTAGGTATAATTTGTTTCAAGGACATATCCCTGCTTCTTTGGGATCATTGCGAAATCTTGTTACCTTGAACCTTCAAAAGAATAAACTCGATGGGACTGTTCCAGAAAGTTTAGGACAACTTTCTTCCCTATCGGAATTTGATATTTCTTCTAATCAATTGGGAGGCATAATATCTCAAATTCATTTTTCAAAGTTGATCAATCTGGATGTCTTAGACTTATCCTCCAATTTGTTCATTGTGAACATCAGCTCCAATTGGATGCCACCATTCCAAGTTGAAGCACTTATAATGAGATCATGCATCTTGGGACCTTCGTTTCCATCTTGGCTCCAGTCACAGAAAGAGATAAAAATTTTGAACCTTTCAAATGCTAGCATTTCAGATTCTATACCAAATTGGTTTTGGATGAGAATGACTAACTTTAGTTTCTTATCTCTTTCCCAAAATCAATTTTCTGGACAAATACCAAAGTCTATAGGGCAAAAGTGTGATTCTCTTTTGACCATTGATCTTTCAAGCAACAATTTCATTGGGAGGATCCCTTCAAGCCTTGGAAATTGTTCATGGTTGGATGAACTAGATCTTAGCAACAACAATTTGTCTGGGGATATTCCAAATTCCTTAGGTCAATTGAAATGGCTCATATTTTTGCACCTAAGTGACAACCGGCTCTCAGGAAATTTACCACTATCATTTATGAATTTATCCGATTTGCAGACCTTGGACCTTGGTAACAATGAGCTTTTTGGTGGAATTCCTTCTTGGATTGGAGATAGATTTGGCTTTCTTGAATTTCTTGACTTGAGATCCAATGCCTTCTTTGGAGAAATTCCTCATGAGCTCTCAAAACTAAGTTTATTGCAAGTGCTGGATCTTGGGGAGAATGACTTGAGTGGTAACATTCCAGCCAACTTTGGTGATCTTAAAGCAATGATTCTAAACAAAAGTAGGGAGCGAGTAGGGTTCGGGACTCAGGGTATTACAGTTAGACAGTCAAATTATAATTATGATGGGAGAGATAAAGATAGGTTGGTTGTGAATGCAAAAGGCCAGTCATTGATGTACACCACCACTCTTTATCTAGTCACCAGCATAGACCTTTCTGGAAACAACCTGTCTGGAAGAATTCCCCATGAATTGACAAAACTATCTGGTCTAACCTATTTGAGCCTATCAAGAAATCACCTAACCGGCAGCATTCCAGAGAGCATATCAAATATGAGTCAGCTATTATCCCTTGATCTCTCAAGTAATCAACTCACTGGTTCTATTCCTCAAAACTTGTCTTCCTTATCATTTTTGGGCTACTTGAATTTGTCCTACAACAATCTTTCAGGTCCCATCCCTTACACAGGTCACACAACAACTTTCGAAGCATCTTCATTTGTTGGGAACCCTGATCTCTATGGTTGTCCCCTTCCCGTGAGGTGCCTATGTAATGGTTATGGTCATGTTAATGGTTCTAACAGGGAAGCAGGCAATGATGAAGCCGATGATTCTGATGGGCTCATTGATAAGTGGTTTTACTTGAGTGTTGGATTGGGATTTGCTACCGGGCTTTTAGTGCCTTTTCTCATATTAGCAATGAAGAGATCTTGGAGTGATGCTTACTTTGCTTTTGTGGAAGTGGTCATTGTAAAATTTCTTGTGTTGTTGCATGGAACAAGAATCAATAATGGCCGCAGAATCAAGCCCCGTCACAAACGATGGTTTTAGAGGTATTTGCATTTCTCCTTCTGTCTGTGTATAATAATGTGTCTATACTTTATGCTTCTCGCTATAATATGTCCCTTTCCATTATTATTAGTAAGACTTGCTTAATTGCTAGCTTTACTGCAGGGAGTATTTGCAAGGAGGTGCGCTTGATTAGGTGGATTTCTGTGCCATCACCTTCTTTTTTCTCTGCATTGGAACGAGACAAAGTGTTAGGAGGTTCTGAAATGTTGCTAAGTTTAATGGATATGCTGGTTCTTCTATTTTGTTTCTTTGTTTCTGTTGTTTTTTTTTGTTTGCATATTGTTTGTCTTGTGGACTTCATTTCTGGGTGTTTTGTTCTTTTTTGCCTTTATCTTAATCCAGCCGTGTTTGATGTAAAATTTAAAAAAAGAAAAAGGTTGTGTGTTTTGTGATAGTTGAAAGTTATTGAAGCAGGATGATACCTACACATGTTTATGACTTGTGATGAGAACCTTCCTTTCTCTTTATTTGTTTTCATTGAAGTTTATTTTTTTAAAAATGTTTATACCATGTACTATAGAATTTGTGGGTTTCTTCAAACTATAGAATTTGTGGGTTTCTTCAAACTATAGAATTTGTGGTTTTCTTCAAACACCAAGACCAAGACGAAGGCATTATTGGGTCTGTGAAGAGAACGACAAACACAAGAATGAACAGAAAATTGAATAATTACATATCTCTGATACACCTTCTAAATCAGTTGTGGCGAATAACCTGCGTAGGAAAGGTGTTGTATATTGCATTGGGTGTGGAAGGTAATTGATTTTTTAAAAATGAAATTTTATTTTATCTTTTTTATACTGATTGTAGGCACAATACAAAAAGAGCCACATATGGCAGCAAGATTAGGCCCCGTTTCAGATATGGGAGGTTTTCCCCCCAAACTTAATGCATCTTAATATTATTTTCAGTCCTAATATAAGAGCTAGCAAGAGGTTAAATTTAGTCCAAAATACAAGGTACTAATCTATTTTGTTTCTTTTACTTATCCAAACTGACCCTATTGATTGTGTATATTAAAGTAGTTCGTACAAGAGGTAGTTTTAATCCAAATTATTTAAGGAGGTATCTTATGAAAATCAACACATATTTTTAACAAATACTCCTCTATTTCTTAATATAGGACCTAATTATTGAATTGATTTTGGTTCTAAATATAAGACATATTTATCATATTTATCAAGTTTTCCTAAATTCTCTCTATGAATACTCTCTCAACAATAATCAAGTATAAAGGGGAGAGAGGATATTAAGGAAGATGATTATGGTGTTTTAGGAAAAACATGTCATATTTCTTATAATTAACTAACTTACCTAACTTCCTTAATTTAATCAAATTAGTTAAATAGGTCTCATATTAAGAATCGGAGGAGTAACTAATTTAAATACTTTCTTTAATATATCCAAATTAGTTAAGTAGATCATATATTAAATATTAAATTTATCTAATTTAGGTAGATCAAGAAAGTAGTTAAATTAACTGTTTGTGAAAAATATGTGTTGGTTTCACTGCAAATACTATTTTAACTCATTTAGAGTAGAACTATCCTTTAATGCAAACTCACTTAACATACACAATCAATATGGTTAGTTTGAATAAATAAAAATAAATAAATTAAAATCTTATATTTAAGAACAAATTTAACCCTCTACTAATTTTTATATTAAGGGTTAGAGGTGGTAAATATGAAGCGGCTTTATCTCTTTGAAATCTTGAGAGAAAAATCCAAATCAAATTGGAGATCAAGAAATAGTGTTGGGATAACTGGCCACTGACATTTAAAATAAAGTTCAAAAATAACTTTTTGAGGGCCAAATCACATTTTTTTTCACCCTAAGAAAATAGAGATTATTTTAATACCATTTCAAAGCATAAATTGAATACAAAATTCAGTAGTTTATTTTCTTGGGTGTTTATATAATTATATCGCAATATTCAGGCAAAAAAATAATTATATCGCAATATATTTTTTTTTCCAGCTACACGGCTTTTTATAAGGGAAGAAGACAGGAAAATACCCTTAAATATGTGAAAACCCATATAAGTGCATGTGAAAAGCAAAATTCCATATCAGACATGGGGTACTGATCTGGCATTTGCAAATGTTGGCCGAAGACATAATTGACCCCGATCAATGCATAAAAAGAAAGACAATATAGAAGGAAGCTTGTGACCGGGGGAGCTTGTGGGAAGGCAAAGGAGGGGATGAAAATCGGTGGAAGTTATTGAAGAAAGGCAAGGTAAGTTTAATTTTAAAGTCATTAATACTGTCTAAAGTTCAGCTTCTTCTTCCTCCTCTCCTGATGGTCGTTATTTCGGTAGGTTGTGTATATGGGTGAGTAGGTTTTAGGTGGGTAAAGAGGTGAAGTGTTGGGTTATTATTTTTTGGTGTTGTAAAGAACTTCATTCATAGGTTTTGGTCTTTCATTTTGTGGGTCTGCATTGGTAGAAAGTGTAAAGCAAATTCCTTCCTCTTTCATATCGTCCATCAAAGTCTTACATACAAGTGACATCAGCTGCGTGTTTATTTTCTGGATTCCACCCAGTGAAAGTAGTTCTTCCCGAGTGAGTACTTCATCATGCATATCAACTATTGGCTTGGAAAAGGAACAAAAAAAATTCAGTCCTGGATATGATTTTGTTGTCAACTCATATAGGTGACGGGTGAAAACATAATGAAAAGTTGTCATTTTATGATAACTTACTGGTCACCCTAATCCCGCAGAGGCATCCTGGATATGGTCTTAAAAAATTTGTCCTTGTCCTCCAAAGTCCTCTTTCTCTTATGCATTTCCTTCGTCTAGATCCATGAAGATCTAACTGTTGATTTAATCACCCTCTTTGATCTTCGGAGTTGTTGTCCCTCCTCCACTCCTTCCCCACTCACATCACAGATTGCTTGTCCTTCGCCAGTAGCCTCATCATCATCACCTTCTGCTTCTCCTTCTTTTTCACTGGCAGATTTATCCTTGTCACCTTGTCCTCTTCCTTCTTCTTCACTGGAAGATTTATCATCCTCAGCTTCTTCTACTCCATCTTCTTCACTGCTACATTTATCATTGTCTCCCTCTTCTCCTTCTTCTTCTTGTACAGATTTACCCTTTTCTCCTCCTTCTATGGGAGACTCATCATTATTTCCACCTAAATTGTCCTCAAAATCTTCATCAATGTGAAAACTATCATCACCTCTTCCAACTCCTTCTTCCACCTCAATTGGCTCCTTACTTCCCTCTTGGACACCTTTTTTGTGTGCCTCTTTTGTCAGCTGAACCTTCAGCAACTCTTCCGCAATTACAGTGAGTAGTCTTTTATTGCTCTTATCAATAATAGTCACCAATCGTCCATAAAGATTATTTAGCTCCTGTAAACACTACCATCAAATTCAACATAATCCATATCCTAAACAACTAAAAACACTAGACAAAGTAACACATACTGGGCCTAGATAAGGAACTCCTACTCTGTCTTCTTGCCCCACTTTCACATCTCTTTGTGTCCTTCTAAACAATAATCCTATGTTGCTCTCCCTCTCTGTCTTAACAACTTCTTTAACTCTCTCCTCATTCCAATACTCAATAGCATTTGCAGCATCATGCACATCAGTTTTTTTCAACCTGAAGTGCTCGCACAAATATATCTGCAACATGAAATATATAAAATTATACAAATATCAATTAAATCAAATATTGACAAATTACATTACATTACATACCAACAGCAAGTACACACAGCTGCTCACATTAGAGCTCCCACCACTTCTGAATGCTTTAACATAAGCCTTAAACTCTTTCGTTAAGTCCTTCATAATATATGTAGCCCAATCATAATGCTCAAACCCATTTATAATGCAAGCCATTAGCTTCAGTAACCGATCACTTACTTTATCCCTTGAATTTGGACACAGAAAAGATTCCAAGGGTGTACAATATAAACAAAAACTCAAATTTATCATCATGCTCTGCAGATTTAATGTCATTTAATATCTTGGTAAATGACACTTTATAGTACTCCTTCTTTAATTGTTGATATGTTGGATTATTTTCATCTACTTTGGCCTTCACTACTTCCCCAGTGTCAAGTACACCAAACAATATTTTAACATCTTCTTGCTTGAATTCCTTTGAAATGCCCCTAATTCTGAATTCATGTGTTGTTAGATCATATGAACGAAGAAAAGCCACTAGTAGGTCATGTGGGAGTCTCTCACATGCTACATGCAGCAACTTTGAGAACCCTATCTTCTCTCTCTCTCCCTCAAACTTGCATTATCATTTACAAAGTCCGCCAATGACCTGAATTGGGGCAAAGAGCACCAGGTTTGAATGGAATTTTGTTCTTCCTTGTTTTCTTCCTCTCAGGCCTTGATTCCCTAGCCTTGTCATTGTACCTCTTTTTTTCCTCCTCACACAACTCTTTCCATGCCTTTGACACTTCCTTATTCTGTTCCTTAAAACGCTTTGACCTCTTTCCCCCTAATTTCTCATAAAACTCCTTCCTAAACAACATGAATCCATTCTGTACTGATTTTGATGAATCTCCTTCCAAGACCATCTTCACTCTTCTGCATATAAACAGTCACTGATGGTCAACTGTTGTCATTCACTATACAGTCGTTGTCAATCGCAATATAAACATTCAAAATATCATCTTCAACAGTCACTAGTACTCAAATGTTGTCATTCGCTATGCAATAATTGTCAATTGTTGTACCTATGTAATAACTTCCACTTATAGATGTTTTCACCCACGCACACAAATTAGTAAAAAATGATCATGCAAAAAGTAATCACCAAAATATAACGTTTCCTCACCTCATTCAGTACAGTGAGGCTTAATCTTTAATTAACAATAAAATCATTCAAAAAAATCATCTAAAACAGTTACTTGTACTCAAATGTTGTCATTCACTATGCATTTGTTGTCACTCGCAATAAACCATTCAAAAATTCATCTTAAGCAGTCACTACTAGTCAAATGT